CCATAATTCTTTGTTATATTCATAAATTCCCGTACATATGATACAGACCCAAGGAAGACGCGTGGAACGTCATTTAGAAGGCCCTAGTCGAGTTAAAGACAGAAATGCTAGAGATACGAGAAGTTGTCACCGCATAATAAGAAGAGCGGGATCAACGCTAGGGAGAAGGCAGTATTATATGATGAAAAGTGGCAAAGCATTGACACTCTCCACCTGTGGGTTACTGAATCTTCGAAGTTCTTTTCTAACGGCAAGGGAGTCTACGCAAATCGTTCAGGTCAGACGATTGTCGAAAACCCAGGAGAAAAAATATGTCATTCTGGTGTTTGTTTCCTGTTCTTTTCAAAGTAGGACCTGGGACGCTAGTAGTTTGAAAAATCTCTATCTCGGCAGGCTGTTCACATCCAGATCATGTTTCTTTGAGCACTTGCACTCAAAGAAACGTGATCCGGACGTGAACGCTGATCGCAGCAAGTCCTTGGGTAACCCAAGTGTAGTGTACCCACTGAAATTTTTTTGACCTTTTACGATTTGTGGGCAATTTATTCGGAAGACTACATACATTTCACATGTATTTTTTTTTGTCAAAATGGCTAATTTAACTTTTTTGGATGATCTCTGAAGGATATTGACATTTGTTACTGAAAGGAGTAAAACTAAGACAAACAACAATAAATTACCAAGTAGTCCAAGAAACTTGTCCACTGAAGAATGGTGGCATTAGGTCCAGTCTATCTAATAAGAATTGTATAGTTGGAAGAACTGGAGTACTGGCAGAGTGTCGCCGCCACAAAAACTGTTCTGGGTTAAATTGTGCCATCAGTATTCCTTTCCTTTATGGTCTGTGATTCCCCTGCTAGTAAGTCAGGGACGCGAAGCTACCGGCTTGTGGAGCGAAGTGCCTCATAAGTCCTGCAGGACTACTGTATGTGCGAAATACAATACATATTAAACAGCGCCTTTGAAGAATTGTAAATGTGTGGCGCAATCCATAAGTTGGTTAACGCCAAACCCCTTACCCTGGGTTTCTAAATGAGTATTACAGATCACGCGATGCTGGCCACACCATCGAAAACGCGGTTACATTCACGCCGACTGAGGAATACGACGGAACACTCGTGCGATGTATTGCGAGCAATCTGTTGTGGCCAACATCGAAGAATGCTACATATCCGTTGAATATTCTCTGTGAGTAATCTATGTCTTAGTTTCTGATTCCGCGTTTCAGTACTCGGAAAGTACTTCTTTCACTTCTCTTGCCCACTTTTACCTGCAGTCATTTCTTAGTTTCTGCTGTTCATTTCTTCATGGCTTCCATTTGTTATGTATGTAGAGAAGCTTTGGAGGTAGCACGAGAAGATTACTTTTGTCGACTGGTCTTCACTTGCAGTAATTTTATGATCCACCTAATTCAATGTTCCGAAACCGAACCCACACTTCTTGCTGAAGATATTTTTAAAAATAAAAGAAATGGTATCTGTTTTGGGGAACGCTGGATAGCCATCGTGATAGGCAAAGAACGGGGTCAGTGCTACTCGGTCCGTGTTTCCTAACAGTCAGCCCTCACCCATATCTACATGCAGTAGTCGTCCTACTAACCGACGTCTTTTCGGAAACCTTCAGAAGCTTCATTGATAGGATGGTATACGTAACTGCTGAAAAGGCAAAAAATAAGAAAAATTCCAGTCCTTCTCTCCCACTGCAGTATCTCTTTCCATCCTTCAGAAATAACAGTTACGGTCTCCTCTTTTGGAATTTATCAATTGATGGTTAGCGCGAGCGATCAAATACTTCTGATGAACTACAATCGCCCAATATTTATAGGCTACAGTTAGTGTGACAAGACTTCTATCATAATCGTATTGTGTAACAGTAGCAAATTGAAAGTACTCACATAACTTTGGTGACTAATTTCAGATGCGCCCCGATTAGTGGTGAATAGCCCAATCAGTATTGTTGTGGCCGAAGGAGACTCATTCCGAGAGAATCTTACCGTCAAGGGGAATCCGCCTGTGTCAGCATGGCGGTGGCGTAAAAACGGCATACCGTTCGATCACACTATTGGAAATGTATTCGCACGTGGCGCTACACTTTCTGGGCGAATTGTAAAGGTCAGCAAGTTGTCAATTAGTTATTGTATTTATTATATCTTACAAGCTTGGGAATCTGCTTAACAAACTAGCCTCTAAACAATGAAACCGAAACCAATTCCTATCAATAACAGGGATTCGGTCATCACACAGCATAAATGGTAAGGAGCTTAGCTTTGGTGAACTTTTTTGAATGCGTCACGCATTCCATTCCTATTCAGAATCGTAGCGGCATCTGAGAGTTTTTGGCCAAAGCGTACCATAAACACATATGTACTTGTCACGAATTTTATTTTCCCATACGAGTCTGCAATTTGCCTGGTTATGGAGCATAGAAGATGGTTGGCCTGGGAGAATACGATCCGGGATTTGATCGCGGACCAGGGGCCGTAAGGTATGCTTCCCCGAATGGTTGGGGACGAAAATCCCTTTAAATTTATTTGTTTTGAACGATACTGTTTCTTCATTTTCAGTGCATGTTTACTTTAACCTACACACATATATTAAATGTAGGCCCTTTATCAGGACAATCCCAGTTGGGAAGACAGAGAAAATTTAAAGGGATTTCGTCCCCTAACCCTTCGGGAAGCATACCTTACGGCCCAAGGGCTCCACGAACGGCGCCACCGCACACCCTTTATTCATGATTAAGACATGCCTAAATACCTTTTGTAGCCCTATCTGATTTGTGCGATCCATTCTCTCGAAAAACCCATGACGATTTTTAATACGTTGACGCTTTGTGCTCTGGCATTTCTCACCGCATGGCACATGAGCGATTTTGAGAGCGCGCAGTCCTTATATTCCTTTTATTTTCTGTTTGAAGCACCCAAAATTTTCCCACACAATTATTTCGGCAAGGATGAAAGCTTAGAGGTGAACCTATATAAATACCAATGGAAGCTTGTCTGGAAGGCGCTTGGAGAGTACGGCATAAGGTGGCTCACCAGCTTCCTGAACAAGGTAACAGTGGAAGGAAGGATGCCGGATGCCTGGAGAACAAGTACTATCGTCCCCATCTTCAAGCAGAAGGGTGACGCGATGGACTGCTCCAACTACCGCGGGATCAAGTTGACTGCGCATACCATGAAGTTGTACGAGCGGCTGGTCGACTCGAAACTGCGGGAGCTGGTCCCGATCTCCCAGGAACAGTTCGGGTTCATGCCCGAAAGGTCTACAACGGATGCCATCTTCATCGCTAGGCAAGTGATGGAGAAGTATCGAGAAAAGCGCCGACCCTGCTACCTAGCCTTCCTCGACCTGGAGAAGGCGTTCGACCGGCTACCGCGAGCAGTGCTATGGAGGTCGCTCAGGGAACGGAACGTGCCAGAACACCTGATCTCGCTGGTGAAGGACATGTACGAAGGAGCCAAAGGCAGCCATACGCACCCCACACGGCCTAACGAAGGAGGTGGACATCACGGTTGGGGTGCACCAAGGGTCAGCTCTGAGCCCGTTCCTCTTCCTCCTAACACTAGATACCATGGTGAAGGGCTCATGGAAGGACCACTGAAGACCATCCTCTACGCTGACGACATCGCCCTGATAGCGGATAGCAGAGAGGAACTTCAAGCCAAGGTGCAGAAATGGCAGAAAGTCCTGGCAGAAGGTGGGCTCCGGCTGAATGTCAAGAAGACCAAGTTCCTGAGCTCTGAAGAGGGTGCAGAGCCGATCGTGGACGGCCATGGTGAGACCATCGAAAGAGTGGAGGACTTCCGATACCTTGGGAGCGATCTGGCAGCCGACGGTAGTGTGGATCAGGCGGTGAAGGCTCGGGTCAACGCTGCATGGATGAAATGGAGGGAGTCCACTGGAATCCTCTGCGATCGAAGGTGCTCCAGAACGCTCAAAGGGAAGGTGTACGGACAGTGGTAAGGCCTGCGATGCTATACGGCAGCGAGTGCTGGCCCTGAACAAGAACCACGAAAGGCAGCTTCACTCCGCTGAGATGAGGATGCTGAGGTGGGCCTGCGGCTGGACGCGGCTGGACAGGGTCAGAAACGAGGATGTCAGGGCGGTC